CCTGAAGGGAAAGCCACCAGTGTGACCACCCACAATAGAATCATAGAGTTGGAAGAAGACCTCATGGGCTATCCAGTCCAACCCCATTCTGCTAAGACGCAGAAAAATTGCATTCAAAGCACCCCCGACAGATGGCCACCCAGCCTCTGTTTAAAAGCTTCCAAAGAAGGAGCCTCCACCACACTCCGGGGCAGAGAGTTCCTGTCGCACCTCAGAGTAGATTCACCTTGCTGAAATCACCAAAGCTGCACACAGACTGAAGTCTTTGTAGTTTATTGAAAAATAAAAGATAAAAGTTCATAAAAGCAAGTAATGTTCCAAAAGATCAATAAGGCATAGCACTATAAAGCAGGATTCCAAGAGTCACCAACAAAACAGTCTCTTATGAGAACATGACCAATTCCCAAGACCATGGACACAAGAACTACAAGATAATCCAGGCAAACGAGCCCAAGCTGCTTGGTTGAGCACAAAGGTTTGTTTCCAAACACACTGCTTAATACCTTTTGCAATACATGAAAGCATTTCTTTGGCCTCTGACCTCCTTCTTGTTAGCTATTCTCACACTCCTTCGAACTCTGAATTCCAAATGGTCAGCCCGATCTAAGACTCCCGTTTCCTCAAGGTCAGGCTGCCTGTTAGTGTCAGCCTGGCTCCCTTCCTGCCTACTATCAGGCTGAGAACTGTCCTCCTTTGCTGAGTCAATTTGCACCTGGCCAGTTTCAGTATCAAAAACATCATTCCCTGCTGTGGGAAACTGAACTTGCACACCCTGTTCCCCATTGCGTACAACAGGAATATTTTGAACCTGAATCCCATCCTTCTCATCAGAGTCATGATGGGGTCTGAGACCCTATCTGTGTCACAACACTATCACTCTGTGGTTCCAGCTGAGTCACAATAGTTCCACTGCTGGAAAATAAGTTTCCCAAAATGATTTCAAGGCAGCAATTCATACTTCAGGCGTTCAGCAGTTGGTGCAATGGGCCTGCTTTGACTGGGACCAACTCTGCACACTGGTGTTGTTTTCATGTGGTATTTGCTTTTGGCACTATTCTTGGTTTTTTTGCAGCCTTTTGTCGAGATCTGTATGAAGCACCACAACCGCCACGAGGCCAGGAAGTTTGCTCCCCGCGTGGCTCCAGAACAGAGGGTGAAGGCCTTCCTCCTGGTTGGGTAGGTTCTGCATCCATGAAGGAGCTT